GTATTTCTCCTCCTGCTTTCCTAAGCAGGTCTTGTTTCCTTGTGGGTTTTGCTTGGCATCTCTGCAGCTCATGGTTTCATCCTGAGTGCCCTGTTATCAGACCCTTCACCAAACACAAAGCTGTCGGGTACCTGCAGCACATGTAGCCAGCATGATATGTACCTCTATGGAGACTCCTGCATGCTTCTGCAGCTGCTTTTGCTGCTCCCATGCTGAGCGGGGCTTTTGCTGATTTGATGTGTGCAGTTCTGAGAGTCACAAGCGTGGTTGCATGTCTGACTGGAGACTGATGATCCAAGGTGTTGGTACCAGTATGGGACTGGCAGACCCAGAAGGTGCCATTTCTATCTGTGAGTTGGACTATCTGTTTAATGTGATCTTGGTAGAAAGAAGAGATATAAAATACCCCTGTCTTCAGATGTATGCTGCATGCACATTTTGTCTACTAGGTATTTAAAACGTGATGCATTGTAGATAGCATGATGGAGAAGCAAGACAGCATTATATTAGGAAGTGATTTGAATGTCTGGAAATGCAAGCGCTGGATGAGCTTAGTGTACAGACAAATCAGTGTCCATGTTTTCCCTTTAGAGAAGTGTAAGTGTTGTTAATCAGAAAAGCACACATTGTGTTTTCCCAAGAGTTGTTTTCATTTGATAACGGGTCCAGTGTAGGGACGTGGTGAGAATGCTGTGTTCTTCATTCATTCCCAGCTTCTCAGAGTGTAGTCTCATTTCTTGCCTGCAGATCACTAGCGCTTAGGGGGAACACCTCCCTTTCCTGCCTTTTTTTCCCCTTCTCAATCTTATCCAAGGTGCTCCAGCTCTGGATTTATTGTTCGGATCCAAGCGGAATCTCAGTGATCCTTGCCATAGCTCAGGAGTGCTGCTCACCCCATCACAAGTGCTTTTCTGATGAAACAGATTAATTGCTAGGGTGTAGTGGTTATTTTCTGCTTTTGACATCTGGATATAGGCACTTTTTATAGTGCCACTTTTTCACTATAAAGCTTTTTTTAAGACTTTATTGGAAATTCGTATTTTTTTTCTGCTTGGACCCATGTCCCTTCCTGACATACAGATCATTTTTGCCTTTTGTTGTGGAGGTTATGATTGATCATTTGCAAGGCTCAGTATTTGGTGCAAGTGTGCATTTAAGCTAGGGAGCCCTCTTATATTTGTGATTCAGTCAACTTAATTGCAGCTTTTCAATTTACAGATGCCTAAAATTTTTCCAGTGGAGTTGCAGATGGTTGGGAGCTCTGCACCCATGGGCTGCCCTGTAACGTGTGTCAACTCGGGCTTCTTAAATCACTTTCTGTGATTCAGTGGGTCATGCATTAGACATCACTTGCCTGCTGGGCTGAAGTGACTTCTGCAGGATTGTTCTTGGGCTCTCGGCTGTTACCAGTCTGGAAACTTGGTTATTCTTTTCCTTGGAAGTGGGATTGAGGCAGTCTGCTCCTCTCTGAGAACAAAAGCACCATCAGCCACTGGGTTGCTGCTGTCACCGCACACAAGAGCTGTTTATGTTAAATGTGACTGATGTTGAAATAAACCACACCTCAGTTCTCAAGTAAAAGTGACCTTTGGCAAGTCTGCATCAAAATAAATAAGGTGTGATTTTAGTTATTTTAAGTTGAGTTTCCTTGGAGACAGGCCCTTAGGAACTCCTGCTGCCAGTTCCTGTGATGTTTGCTGGTTTAACATGAACAAAACTAAGAAAATTCCTCTCTTCTCCACAAAAGCATGACGTTTCACAGAAGTCCAATCCATGTAACAGTCTGCTGTGTTCCTGGTGGGCTTTTTAAAGAGATGCTGAGAGGTGGTATGAAGACTGTGGGTCAGATTTTGCATATCCTTTTGACTCCTTTTGCAAAGGGCTGTCTTAAACACTTGTCTCTTCCTTGGAAGATGGGAAGTTTTGGTATGCATTGCTTCCTTTGGTGACCTCTTCCTGCTTTTATGTAGGGGAATGTCATGCTGTTGGAATACATCTCTGTTCCCCTGTGATGACCCTTGCCTGGTTTGGGACCCCCGAGTGGCTGTAGTCAGCTGTTATGAAATACAGCAGCCCAAAGGCTGTGCTGACTTGCATCAGGGTCAGATCCAGGGCAAATAGAATTTTTGGGAGACAGCTGGTTCCCACAAATAAACCCTTTTTTTATATGACCTGTGACTTTGTACCAGATAAAATCTACCCTAATTTTTTGTCTGGATTAGCTTTTTGGGATGGAAGCCTTTCTGCTCTTGGAAGGGGGTTAGAGGAATTGTTCTGCCTTTAAATTCTGTTAATCTTTAAATGCGTGTCTGTGACATGCTGTAAAAAGCTAAAGCAAACACTGCTGAAACAGTTAATCAATGCTCCCTCACATCCCGTTGGGAACAGCGATGTTCACAATTTCAGGTAGCAGAGGGACTGGGGAAGACCTTGCATCTCTGCTGTGCAGGCAGGATCCCTGGTCTGTGGTTGTCTGAGTCCAGCAGGATGAAACGTAGTTACAGAAATGCCCATGGATGGGGAAAGGTGATTTCTATCCATACTGTGGGATGGGATGGTCTTACCACTCTGCTTTGTAGATAAGGTGTGGTGAACCCCTGGGGAGCCCCAGTCCAGGTGCAGTGCCCCCACAGCCCAATTGTCATGGGGATGGACCCTGGATGGGCAGGGTGGTGGAAGGAGACCCTCTTGCATCCTCCCAAAGGGTGTGAGGGGCCATGTGGCCGGCCAGGTACAACCTCAGCTTGTGTAGCATCAACTGCTGCGGTATGTGAGGCTCAGGGCTGTGTGCTGAGGTGCAGGTCCTGGGCAGCATCCCTCAGCCATCCTTACCTGGACCATCCTTACCTTATGCTGGACATACCTGCTACAGCCACTTGGGCAACTGCAAATTGGACTGAGGGGCTGCATCCAATGTGAATAGTAACAGAGAAAAGCAGCATTTTTGTACTGTAAACACTTAAGACCTGCCCTGCCTTGAGGTCAGGGTCAGACACCAAGTGTGGGCATTGCGTGGGGGCAAGAGGTTTGCCTGTGTCCCTCCCGGGATGGTGCTACTGTGCATTGCTTCCCGTGTTTCAGGGCTCGGTGTAGCAGGAGATAAGAGTGGGATGTCCCTGACTGCATTGGCTCTGCCTGTTCCACCAGTTGTTGTTTGTTTCTTTGGGGAGTGATTGCTGTCCAAGCAGCCCCAGTTGGGAAGCAAATCATTAAGTGCTGCCTTGGTTTTCAGCTGGGACTCCTGTGGGCTGACACCTTGAATTTAATTCAGCAGTGTGTGGATAACTGTATTAGTGAGGCAGCTGGAAGCCTGGAGTCACCTACCCCTCTCCTCCTTGCCTCTGCTTGTGGTGGCATGTTGTGAATGGTGTGAGGGACATCGCAAGGAGGAAGGGCGGTCTTCTGGCCAAGTATGTGCTTGCTTCATATTGGTATCTCAGGGTTATTCTGGAGGACAGGTCTCCTGAGCTGACATATGCTCTGCAGAGGGATGAAGTGCTGCTTATCAGCTGTTGGGACATTACCAATGTGTTTGACATTGTCAGGGGCAGAAGAAATTCCTGCAAATGGTAGTAGTTTGTCTGAAAAAAGCCTCTCTGTTTTCATCAAGGAATTCCCCTGAAACAATCTTTGCCTCTGCATGCTTGCAAGGAAACAGATCGTGGCTTGCTGAGAGCGGTGCTGTGGAAACCGGTGTGTTTATAGTTGGGAAAAGGGAAGGACTTTTCACCAAGAACTTGTTGGTCGATGCCCAGGAAGAGGAGGATTAGCTGACTTAAAGCTTGGCTTGTCTCCCTGCTCTGATAGCCTGCCCTCCCCTCCCCTGGCCTGGGATACCAGGGAAGTCTCAGTGTCGTGTGCGCATGCTCATGGAGTGACCAGTTCTAGCAACTGGTTGAGGTCAACTGCAGCAAGAATGCAAGTTAGGCAGTAGGTCTAAATACAGGCAGTCTGGTGTCTTTATAGCTGTAATGCGCCATATTTCAAAATTATGCAGATATTTTGTTCTAACACTTCTTCCTCAGAAATGTGGCAC